CAGGTGACAGGCAGTGCTGGGAGTCCAGACCTGAGCAGACTCTGCGGGTCCATCTCGACCTGCTTCTCTGCCCCTGACAAATGAATAGACCTCCCTTTCTTCAGTGTGCTTTCCTCTGGGAAGCCTCCGCCAGTCCTCCCAGCAGGGACAGCAGGACCTGACACACAGGGCGCACTCCTGTCTCCAAGCACATAAGCCATGCCATACAGTGTTTTGTGCGTAAGCATATCATGGCCACTTAGTCAACATCTAAGAATAAGGTATGAGTGAGGAAAAGCATGCTTTCAGTTCTGTTATAGTTATAAATAGAAGATTCTTCCGGTCAGGGTGTGGCAACATGGTACTGAGCAGCAGTGCTGGACGGGAATGGGAAGTCCTGAGCTTTATTTCCAGCTCTGGAGCGTGTTGCTATTATTCATGGTAACTTGTGCCCCAACTTTCATTATCTGTAAAATAGACACAGCACCACTGCCCTGCTTCACAGGCTTTCTCAGGAGGCAGTGCTGACTATGAAGTCCAGGCAGGTATATGTCCTAGCGACTATGTCACCTTGGGAAAGTTTGCCCCTGTGCCTCAGTTCTCATATATGGAAAATGGGAACAATCAAAAATACAGTACAGAGTTGGTCTGAGGAACAAATGAGGCAACGTATAGGAAGCATTTAGCAGTAGTTCCCAGTACATAGTAAGTCCTCAAACAATAATTATTTCTATCATCCTGTGAAGGGGCTTTATAAACTATGAAGTGGTTTTCAAGTATGAGGCGTTTTTATAAGGATCTCTGCATTGTGTAAAATGGTCACCCGTTCACCCTGCACATACAAACCAAAAGGTGTACCTAAAAGCTATAAAATACATCTAAGTTTCTGAAAACCACAGTTAGACCTTGAGAAAGGTACATGTAATGATATTCTCAATATTTATTTTATACCTTATGAAAGAAAATTACTGATAATCAGCTTACATATATAATTAACTATAACTATTTTGCTAAATAGGGAGCTTTTAAAAATAGTAATATTGGTTGTGTGATTAGCACAACCAATTTGAAGAATAATTTGCAATATGTCATCAATGTGAGGATATCTAAGCCCTATGACCAGTCCTTCTATTTCTAGATATAGAGAGAAGTTCTCCCATAGGTGCACAAAGAGGTATGTATGATAACATTCAGTGAAGCATTGTTTGTAGTGGCAATAACAAAATTTTTAGGAAAAGAAACAACCTACATTTCCATCACTAGGAGGCTGAATGAACAGTGATATGTTCATTCAATGGACTACTATGCAACAGTTATAATGAGTGACTTAGAGCCATAAGTATCAATATGGACACATCCAAAAACAATGCAACACACCAAAGTAAGGAGTGGAGGATTCTACAATAAATCATTTATAGGAAATTCTAAAACATGCAAAACCAGAACGTATTTACATATACGTAGTATAGGTATAAAAACATGCATGGAATTGATGAACACCAAACTCAAGAATAGTTACCTTTCAGGAGAGAGAGAAATGGGAACTGGGAGAAGTAACAGGAGGGCTTGAGTTCTATTTGCAATATTAATTTCTTTTTCAAATATTATGAAATAAGAATGGGCAAAGCTGGATAGATGGGCTTTATTATTTTATTATGCCATGTTTTTCGGCACCTTTGAATGCCTGCTCCATGACATCAGGGACTGTTTTGTTGACTGCTCTACTCTTAGAACCTAGAAAAGTGCCTGGTGCATAGTAGGTGCTCAATAAACTGCTGAGAGAATGAATAAACGATTCTCTCCACAATTCTAAATATTTGAAATAATTCTCTTAAAATAAAAATAATATAATACTATAAAAATAAAAAATATGAAAAACACTGGTTTCTCACAGCAAAAAGAAAAAAAGGGGGGAATTTAAAAATGGGGAAAATGGAAAATACGCTTTTTCACAGAACAAGTTTCTGAAATCTGTGTAAAAGAAAGTTGTAGGGGAAAAGAGACTGGGGAAAATTTAATGCTTAAAGAAGTTTCCAAAACAAAAATACAGATTTAACAGTTGTGTAAAGGGGAAGCTGGAATGGTTCACTTCTGGAAAAACTTATCCTCAAGCTATGGCATGGAGCTCTCTGGATTTAAGGTAAACAAAGGACTCGGTGGTCCTTTGGTCCTATAAGTATCTCTGAAGCCCAAAGCAGTCTTGAGCTGCACTGTTTTCTAACCAGACCAGGGTATACTTGTTATAGTGCCTAAGGAAACTTAAAAAAAAAATCCACCGGTGGTGCCCTCTAGTGCCAGCGTCTTCCAGATCCATGAGCAGGGCAAGGTCTTCTCCAATCCCACCACACGGCACAGCACAGCACAGCAGGGTGTACAGTTGTTGCGTGCGCTCCAACATTTTGAGGCAACCCCCCAGTTCAGAAACGTCAGGAAGAAAAAGATGTGAAGACAAACTGCTTCCTTGTCTTTCTCATTCAACCCACCAGGGACGGCCAACCACAACAGCATGCACCTGGGCCAGGCATGCAGGAAGACCAAGACAAACAAGTGCAAAAGTACCTCGGAAGTCACCTTGCAAGACAGTAACTTAGAGGTGTACTGGCAGAGAGGGAAAAGACCAGGGTTAGTACACGACAGAGGCACACTCACGGAATACCCCCCCCCCCGGGAACGTACCACACCAGGCAGGCAGGAGGGAGCAACACCGGGAGACCATTACACACCCATGCCAAGACTTTCCTCATCTGATATTAGTTTATTTAGAAGTCTGTATCTTTTGGAGCAAATAGATACCCTATTATTACTTAATAAAAATATCAGATAAACCATATTTTGTTAATTCAAGATTTGTTGCTTCCATTTTCTGTGCTTTGAATTAACAAGATCTCCCAACCCCCAGGTATGCAACCAGACGTCCACAGCAAGGTGCCTGATGGTCATTTTGGATTTGCTAGAATCTGTAGCCAAAGAGCCTTTTCCTGTAGGTGTCCCTGAAGCCCAAAGCAATATTGTAGCCTCTTGTCCCATGAAAAGGAGACCCTGACTACAGATAAAAAGATTGCCCAAATGCAAGGTGTGTGGAGGCAGATTCTCTGAGGCTGACCCTAAAGAAGCCTAGGGAAGCCACCCAGCCTCTCTCATCACTACCTTGGGGACACGGACAAGTTCCTGAGAGTGGGGTGCTCATGTAGGAACTAAAATGGTCCTTTAGTTCCTATAAGAGACTAAAAGTCACTGCAAGAAAAGTCCAGAACAAAGAATGTCCTGGTTATAGGAAATGAGATAGAAGGGCCAACTTTGGACAGCCCCCTCTAAGATTGTGGTCATGACCTTGCATTTCCACTGGTTTTTGGCATCAATAACCACTGAGATCATGTCTGTGATCACTGACTGCTTCTTATGTGTACCACTTAAAAATTACAGTTTTGTAATGATCAGGCTGCTGGCTAGGAGTGGGTGAATTTGGAGCTCTCTCCTCCTCTGAACCTTCCTAGAGTGTGAGTGAGAACCCAAGGGAAAGCCGGGCAGAACGAAACATCACTGACTGTGGCCGAGCTTCTGTAGCGCTTGGGGTGTGGGGGCACTGGAGGCAGACGGGTTTCTTTCAACCACTCCATGAGAGTATGGCCCCAACTCCCAAAGGGTGTCCTGGCCTAGAGAAAAATGTGTGCCAGGAGTTCCTAGAAAAGCAGTAACTGCTTGTCCCCAGCTTTCACTTAGCCCAGGAGATTCGATGAGGCCTTCTCCTATTCCAAGACAGGCAGGGGCAGCTGAAAGTCCTCTCAGCAGCTATTCTTGGAGCAAGAGAGAGAGAAATTCAGGAAAAACTCACCAAGAGTAGATCCTGTGCTAGAAGTGAGGGTGCGGCTGAACGCCCAGGAGGCTGTAATTTGGACTCAGGCCAGCATCCCTTTAAGCGAGAAAGGGAAAGCAATCCACCGAGTTCAAGAGCATCACTGACTCAAGAACCCATCATCTTCTGAGGCTCAGGTCAAGTTGGGGAAACAGCAGGCCAGAAAAACACTTGCCTAAATATCTTTTTTTTGCATGGCACCAAGAAACCCTTTAGGACACTATGATTCATTAGTCCAGAATGTGTTTCGTGGACCAGAGATGGCATAAGGCCCATATAAAGGGGACATTTCCACATAAGGTTTTTTTCAGATGAGAGACCCACAGTAAGAGCAGGACACTGCACCTGGGTGTGCGGTGTGCTCACTGCACAGTAGCACCAGGAGGAGGGAGGGTTGAAGCTCAGTGTCCCCACTCCACTCACTATTGTGCGGCCGGTGCAGGACTATGTCCTCACAGAGGAAAAGAGGTGCCTTTTTCTAATTCCCACAAAGGCCCTGAGTAGGCTGCTAAACAGCCCAGGGTAAGGGGTGGGGTGAAGAGAGCAACCCTCCTGTCCCAAAATAGCTGAGGTTGTCCATTGTTAAGCGGGGCCTGGCTAAAGCCCAGAGCACAGAGATGCTCACTGGTGACCACGCCACACAGAACAGGGAAGCCAGCCCAGGTGGGTGCAGACGGTGGGCACCTGCTCTGATGGCCATTTGGGGATAACTCTTTGAGAAAAGGGGCTTTTCCTGGTTCTTTGTCGTTGACCTTTTCGCCAACTGAAAAATGAGCAGGTATTCACCTGCAGACGACTCAATGTCACCAATACAGTGACTCCTGGGCCCATGTTCCAGGAGAGAGTTCATGATTTAATTTTCCATCTTCTGTCATTTCTGAGCCCTCATCTTGTTTCCAGCAGGAGAGGGGGTCAGCTCAGGAACATGGAAATCCACCAAATGTTCTACAGTGTCCCCCACGTCACCCGCTGGCAGCGATTCCATGAGCCAGAGGCCTCCCTGCCTGTCCTGCGTATGATTTTTCACCAAGTCCTGGGGCAGGACTCCAGGGGCCAGTGCGCTCTGGGGTGGGGGTGCCGTACCTGTTTTGATGGCCAGGGTCAATTTTCACAGGCAGGTTGGCAAGAGTCACTCATGAACACTGCGGGCGCGGCTGCCTAGGGTTTCTCTTTCTTCAGTCCTTCACGCTCATTAACACCATTGTGTCTAATGTGTCACTATGAATACATCCCAGTGACCCGATTTTGTTTTTAAGTCTGCCTTCTCCTTAGGGAGCGCAGCAAATACGAATTGTTTTCATTCCATTCAGAAAGAGCGTGCTACTTCCTATGACAAACACATGGTTGGGTCCTGGTCATGTGTGGGGGACTCATAATTGGCAGGTGGACCCACCAATATTGGTGCCGGGGTGACCCTGGACCCAGGTGAGCCATGTGAGGTTCTTAGAGGGTGGAGAATCTAAGAAGCCATAGTTTGCCCAGAGAACAGCGTGTGTGAATGGAGCCAGAACAGAAGCACAGCTTCTAGGGGCAGGAAGCCAGTTACACAGCTCAGGCATCAAGCAGTCCACCTGCTCCTTTTTATTACCCTTCTGGAATCAGAGACAATTAAAGAAGGGGCCACGAATCAGCCAGGAAAACGAATGAAGGCCTACAGGTAAACTTCAACATGTTCTCCAGTGACTGACGCAGATGCAACAGAAAAGATCCCCTGAATCGAGAGGGCTAAGACACAGGGTAACGGGGGCTCGGATCATATATTTGCTTTAGGAGCAATCTGATTATGCTTTTTCCAAATCTGGGTCTCTTAAAGGGGCCATAGTGGATTGTTTCATTCTATTTCTAAGAATTTCCAATGACAAACTTGGATCTCTGATAATATCAGTAACAGTGCAAAACACTTGACCTTGAATCCAAGATTTGGGGATGGTATCAACTTGATGAGTTTGTAAGTTTCTTCCTTATACAAAATGTTTATTTACTCAAGAAAAACAGAGATAGGAGGCTGCCGTTTCACCGCATACATGAAGAAAAATCGGTGTATTAAAATCCGATTCTGAGCAGCCGCACTAATGCACGGGGAAAACCCAACCTGGTTGGCATTTGAGTTTGCACAAAAGAGGTTTCAGCCAATGCCTATGACATGAGTTAAGAATGGGCTCTTCTGTGCATAGTTTCCCCCTCTAGCACCTGCACCTCAGCACAATAGGCACACACAGAGGCACGGAGAGGGAGCTTAGGAAGCACCCGCAGGGTGCACATGCTAAGCGGTCCCTTTGGTCTCCTCCCTCTGCACCAGAACATGAGGGGTCCACTCAGCCAACCTCCCCGGAGCTGCCGATGCATGGCTGGAATCACAGGAGGAAAGATACCAGCCATTTTTCTAGCACTTGGTTTCAAAATGGTCACAGGCTCCAGAAAATACCTAAAGGTAAACTCCGTATTTTAAGTGGGGCTGCAAAGAAGGGCCAGCTAAAGTGACCTGGGGGACAGAAAAAGTCCTATGGGCTCAGGGAAGGAGCTCCGGCAGTGGAAAAGTCTGCAGCAGCCACTGAGGGCCAGGCCCCTCCCCTGGTCAATAGGAAAACAGCTCAGAAACTCTGCAGCCTGATGGAAGAGCTGAGTCGGGATCCTGAGGAGTTTAGGTGGAGACCCAGGAGAGAGCCTGGGAGGTGCCAGGTGAGCCGTTAGGCTGCTGGAGGTGTGTTTGCTTTCTCTATCACCAAATATTTTGAAAGCAACATTGGGTATCAACTGCAGAAATCCTTTAACTTAGCCAACTGGGATATGAAAGGCAGTGAGTCAGGCTGGAGTTCTTCCTGTGAGCACCGCAGCCTTCAAGTTTAAGGTGAACAAGTAATTTATCATCCAAACTAGGGCACTTTTAAGAGCAAAAGGGGATGCTATTAATAACGACACCAGGACAACAGGCAGAAACCAGGACTGTCCCCGGTAAACTGGGTGGTACTCTCCACTGACCCAAGCTACCCGTGACCTAAGTGTAACCAGGGGGAAGAGGTGATCACCTCGATAAATGCCTCAGTCAGAAGACTCCTGAGAGGTTGGCGTGGACCCCTGGGCTGATCCCGCCTCCTGGCAATGGAACAACAGCCCTTAAGTCTCTTATTGGAGAAAGTACGACAGGGCAGATGACTCCTCCATGGTTAATGTGAACATCACATGTGAAGTTCTCAGGGTTGAGGGGAGCAGGTAGCCGTGTGGTTTTTAACTGTCATTTTAAATGGCTCTTTCTTGCCCAGTTGTACACAAGGCTTGGTAACAGTCCCAAACACACTCAAGTCTTTTGAGCACTGAGTAACATTTACAGGAATTGCCCAGAGTAGATGTTGATGGAATAGTATTGTCAGTGTCCTCTAGAGAAATATAACCTTACAGAGCAGGCCAGTGATGGTAGAAATCAGCTCCCTGGTGTCTGGGATAATTGCAGGGCCTTTATGTTCTTCTTTCCCTCTTGCACAGTGTGTCTTTCTACCCACCAAACATCTCATGCACTAACATTGCCAGTGGGTTCAAATTCTAGTTGGCAGCAAAAAGACCTGTTCCTCACATGATCAGTGTTTTTGAGAAACAAAGCAAAAACCCAGCCCCAACTCCAGGCATGTTAAACCACACACTGGGAAACCGGTCTTGGAACCAGGATGCTAGCAGACAGCTGTCTACACACATGTGCTGGAACTGGATCACCGCACGCTACGTTCGCCCTCGGAGAAGTGAAAGGAAAGGCACTTACACTACTATCATCCATTCTCTCGCGCCTTTTAGATTTGTGTGTCTCATAGTCTTCCATGAGGGTCTGCATCAGATTCTTGGGCCGCTGGGATCCGGCAGCCTCTTCGGGGGCTAAGTCAGGCTGCGAGCTGGGGCCTTCAGCTGTGGGGGATGGAGGAGGTCTGACTTTCTCTATTTTCCCTGAAACAATACGAAGAAAACACCCTTTCTAAGCTCGTCTGCTTGTGACTGCTTTCAGAGAGGAGAAAACCGGCAAAGAAGCAACCTCTGACACAGAGTGGAAGCAGAAAAATGGTTACACGCAGGACATTTTATTACAGGGATTGAGAATGTCACAAACCATCCAACAAGGACCTCAAGGAACCCAGTGCTAAAAGAGTCAGACCCAAGGGGCTCGTTGGGCACTTTGCAAATATAGGTCAGGCAGGCAGACAGTGGCTCCAGCTATTTTGGGGTCATGAATTCTATCACAGAGCATAGAATTAGACTGTAAGGGGCCAGCACCTTTGAGCCTCAGAGACCCACCTCTTACAGATGAAGAAAACTGAGGTTTGGCAAAGGGAGGGCTGTGTTGAGGTCACTGGGATCCAGTGAGGGGACCCAGGTCTCCTGGTTTTCGCAGCAGGTTCTTTCTTCTCTATCAAAGGCCACCAACTATCATCTGACCTGCCCAAGCTTCAGGCATGGACAGTACAGTGTTGTAGGACCTTTGAGGGAGAACTAGGTTTGTTCTTCTCTGGTCACCCCAGTCTTACAGAGGCCAGCTTCATTCATTTACCTTACCTGCCACGGCCCTAAAGCATTTGGGTTTGAGACACACACCACTCCCCCACCCCCAAACCTTAAGGAATGGATAACACCAAAGACAGCCTTCATGTTGTAAGAAAGGTGAGACTGGACTTTGGAAATGCCTTACAGGAATTCTCAGATAAGGTCAGGTCAATGGTGGGGGTGGTGACTCGAGGCACTTTCACTGAAACCTGCATTCCTCCTTCCTGGCAAATGCCCGACCCTGACTTCTGGCCCGTCAAGGGGCAGGTTTTATCGCCACAGAGCCCCAAATGAACCTCTGAGAGTATCTTCAGGTGCAACAGTCATGATTGTTCCAACTGTGCCCTTTGTGGAGACAAAGGGTCTGTGAACAAGGAACGTTAAAAAACACACAAAACAGGGGAGAGCACTCAAGTCCAAAGTTTGGGAACTCGCAAGGTTAAAGACCCATATGATCGCTTCCAGTCCCAAGCTGAAGGTGCTCATCTTTCTTTGTCTTTCTGGGCACAGCTGCTTTTGATGGGAGTTGGAAACACTCCCTAGAATACAGGAAACTCAGGTTTTAATTTCTGCTCTTCCATGAACTATCTGTGTGGTTGGCTAAAGACAATCATTTAATATTCCCAGTCTAATCTTGGGCTGATCACTTACATTCTCCTAGCTATAAAATAAGAATTTTGGAAGAAGTTGTCTTTGAGGTCCCTTCTAACTCAGACATTTTGCTAGTTTATCAAATACATTTTGCAAGATCAGCCCTTATTGATTTAAAGAATGGCCATCACATTTGGCAATTAGGTGGGAAGTTGTTTTTAACAGAAAAGGGTACTCCATCTGCAAGACCCACCATTATATTAGTAACTTAGGGAAACTCATTGTCTTGATCTAAATTACCTAGATCATTCACACAAAAAATCTTTTTATATTAACAAGGTAAAAATATTTCAGAGTTCCCATATTCACTAGCAATGATTTCTAGTTTTTATTATGGAAATTAGGGAATACTACAATGGCTCCCCATCAACTATGTTAAACATTTATCAATATTTTACCACACCTGCTTCATCTATCCTTCCTTCCCTCATTCCTTCCTAATAAAATATTTTAAAGCAATTCCAGATCTTAGGTAATATTACCTCTGCATACTTAAAATACGTCTCTGCAATTTCAGATTGACTCTTTAAATGAAGGTTTGAGAAACAACGTAGCACAGGGGTGAGCATGCAAGCCCTGGAGCCAGCCTGTTTGGGTCTGAATCCACTGCTTAGCAGCCAAATAACTGGCTCTTTTCCTATCTCAGTTCCCTCATCTGTAAAATGGGTATTAAATACTAGAGGCACCTACCCCACATAGTTGGCATAAGGACTAAATTAATATTTAGAACAGCAAGCATCCAATTTACCCAGTTACAACTTATTTGGAATCCCAAAGAATAATGTCCATAGAATGAGATGAGCACTTTTGTGGGGACTGTGCATAAAATTTTTGCAGTTCTTCTAGAACTAGAAATAAACACCAAATTGCCAAGGTTGGTCATCATTATTTTCCAATTGACCTCTTAAGTGTCCAAATCACCTCCTACCAGCCACTCCTCCAGCACTAAACTTCTAGAAAGTGTATTCTATATTCCCTGCCTTACCCCTTTCAAGCACACAGCTGGCACCCTGCTTCATAGCACTTTGTTTATACCCCGTGAAGGCCTTTTTCACACGTCGATTTGTATCCTATCCAGTTGTTTAAGCCTCTCTTCTCAAGTGAGCTGCAAAGTCACATGAGGATAGAGACCATCTCAACCATCTACGAGCCCCTTAGTTCACCTGGATATAGACTCCCTTATGGCAGGACCTTGTCTGCCCTGGTCACTGCTGGATCCCAACACCCACTGTGGTACTTGGCACAAGTTTGTTGAATGAGCCAGTAAGTACATTATGAAATATACGTAGCAGCCACGTATTCAATGCCTGTGGGTGGGGACAGAATTCCCAGTAGAGAATCTGGAGAAGAGTTTCAATGTCTTCACCAAAGCACATGCAATGAAACGATCTTGGTTTACAGACTCACAGCCCCAATGGCTTTGTAGTAATAATGACCACATGTAAATGGCACTTTATTTACAGGCTTCATGTCACTTGATCCTCACAATAACCTTGGGATGTAGTCAGGGTGGATGCCGTGCCGTCTGTGAACGGGTTAGACCACGAGGCTCAGATGCCAATGCCAGCCCCAGTAACGTTAGCTAGTAACAATCACAGTGAGGTCTGATCTGGAACCCAAATCGTGTCGGTTATGGTTAAATGACATTGATGGGATGTAGGCTGAAAGAGAATTGCAAAGAGGGCAAAGGGTTAATATAGAGAAGTGGTCAACCATTAGACATGAGAGACATTTCCTGCTTATTTCACCCATCCCCAGAGCAAGTCTTACCATTTCTAGACACTAGAGGTCACATGAATAACAGGAAAGAGACTGGATTCCCAGGTCTAGAGCAGCTGCTTCCAAAGAGAAAGTAGCTGAGAGGTCTTTGAGAGAACAGTTGATTTCAAATAACCAAGCCCCTGCCAGAGCCTCAGGAGAAGCCTTCAGAGGTCCCCAAAGAAAGAAGACACTGCATCCCATCCCCTCGGCATGGGGAAGTCAGCTTGGCTAGGCTTCTCCGCTGGGCCCTGTGATCTGCAACCCCCCACCCCACCCCGCACCCCCCAAGTATGAGCCAAACCATGCACTGGAATTCTGTGGGCCATTTAGGAATCACACAGACTGCTGAAAAGCTGTGGAGGGACCTGTTGCACGCCCACTTCCTTCCTCAGAAGTCTACAGCCAGCAGTGCTCCAATTAGGATGGTGAGAAAGCCTCTGATGTTCTTCCCCCAGGGGTGCACACCCAGACACCACCACTGTTGGGGCCTCGGGGATGATTCCTTGCATGTGAAGCAAAAGGTCTGTGCCTCAGACCTGGAAAGTCTATTCGGCCTCATCTATGGTCTCAGGGCCCCTCCAAATGTCTTCATCTCAGGTGCCCATTGTCACGCATCTCACCTGGCACTGCCCCAGGGCCCCCATGCTCCACGCCCCACCCGCCTCATCAAAACCTGCTCTGGTTTTTGTTTATCCACCTGGTGTGTGACTGAAGAGCTGAGGACAGCCGCAAGTGAGCTCTATTTCCTACGGCAAACATGCCGCCGGCCGGTTTCTCACCTGGGCTGAACACCCTACAAAGCAGGTCTCCTGAAGGGCCCCAGTCACGGTGCCTGGGAAGCCACATGAACGCTGAGCGTCACCCAGACCGCAGGGCAGGCCCGGTGGTCGTCAGCCAAAGGCTGGTACCTGACGTTTACAGAGCAGGGAGCAGGTGCCAAGTGAGCTTTCTGACATAAGGAACCAGCAGAACAAAGCTAGACTGGAATTCTGAGGGGAAGGCGGGTAACAGCTTGGAGTTAATTTTATAAACATGATTTTGTTCCAACTGTTCCATCTAGAGTAATTTTAGACTTAAGCTTTTAAAGGTGTTTGAGGGTAAGCGGCTCCACTGAGCTGGGATGATTCCAAAGCTCTGTTTCCAAAACTATGTCCAATAGCTAAGGTTTGCAAGATAGTACTCAATACTGCAAGCACTAGACCCATTGTGAGGACCCCACCCTCATCTCATCTAACCCTAATTACCTCCTGAAGGGCTCCATCTCCAAACACCATCCGCATTGGCAGTTACAGCTTCCACATATGAAGGGGGGGGACACACAACTTGGGCTCGGGGACACAGACGACCACACAAAGTTCAGTCCGTAACTGACACAGTATAGGCTTCCCACCTCTAGAACTATGAGATAGTATATCTGTGTTGTTTTAAGTCACTGCATTTGTGGTAGTTTGTCACAGCAGCAATAGGAAACTAATACAAATATAACCCCAATATTACTTCCACGCACAGATGTGCACGGAGACAAACAAGGCAGGCAGTGGGTTGGATTATGAGTCACTTGGTTTTTAGCATATTCTCCCTTTTTCCCCCTACAATAAGCATGGCTTAATTTTAAAATATAAAACAAATCAGAAAACGTTTTCAAGTATTATTAGTCATGCTCAGAAAAGTAGAGAGAGCTGCTTGCTTTGACCTGCACGAACCAGGCAGATCCACAAGCTTTTCCATCTCTCCAGGCAGCACATGCCAGGAGAGCTGCTGGGCTGACACCTCCCTAAAGCCTCAGAAAATCACAGGTCACACCTGGGACAGTGGCCTTCACAGGCTGTAGCACTGTGAGGCTGACTAAGAGGCAGAGAATTTCGCTCCAACTCAGTAAATGCCGTCTCCCACCGGGAGTGGGAGAGAACACTAGGAAATGTGAATTTGCGCTTCCTGTTTGTTTATTATGAATAGTTAAAGCACTTTCTGGGCCCCAGAAAGCAGGCCAGGCCTTG